AACCGTATTTTCTAATAGGGTGGCTACGTGAGTTGTCAAAATGGAGTATGGAGGGTACAAGATTCACTTGCTATATCGCGGGCGATAGGTGATGAGAGCTTGAAGAAGTGGATAAGCTCTGAGCCTGAGACATCAAAGATTCATCTCACACCAGATTACGAGTTTCTAATAATAGCCTCTGATGGATTGTGGGATAAGGTATTTACATAGCCTACTATTCATTTATGTTTGTTATTTTCTTCGGTCCGATCGATTATATATTATATAATCTCTAATTCGTTGTATTTTGGCGTGTTCATATATAGGTTTGTAATCAGGAGGCAGTGGACATTGTTTTGAGACACAAGGAGTACTCTATTCAATCTTCTTGCAAAGCGCTTGTTGATCTTGCTTCTAGTAGAGGGAGTAGGGATGATATTACTGTCATGTTGGTAGATTTTCAAAGTTTTCTTTAGAGTTTGACAAAGAGATGGTCACTTACTAGCTTTAGTGTAGATATTTTGTTGGGCATCAAGGATGAGAATGAGGAGCGACTTTTACTTAAAGAGGAAAAATATAGCAGTAGTTAGACCATGAATTAAGTGTCATATTTGTACAGAAAACACTGTCAATATTTTGCACCCCGTAAGTTCACTTTTTGGTGGAGAAACGGAGGTGACTTAGATTGTTTACCTTTCAAAATTATAGCGTAGTCAATAATATTTGTTTCAGCTATTTTAGAAAATAAATACTATTATCTCCACCCCATCCTCTTATGTCTACAGTGTGGTGGATAACTATGACTCCACCCTTTTTGAGTTTTAGGGGGTAAGTTATAGGATAATACCCCCATTCAAGATAATGATGGCTACGAGTAAATCCAGTCACAAGGTAAATGAACTTAAGGGCCTGTTTGTTTGCACGAAAGTAGCAAAGAAGTAACTAAAGTAGAGGAAGTTTCTCTACTTCAAGCAAAAAATTATGTTTGTTTCTCCGAAAAGACCACTTCAGCTACTTCCATAAATGCAGATGTGGCGTCTAGGTGACACTCCTACTTCCTAGATTTTTTTCCCACCATTCAAAGCTCAGAAATAGAGGGAAAGTTGATAAAAAGTGGGGTCCACTTAAATTAGAGATTTACCTAGGACAGATGATTTTAAATAATATATCCAATTTCTATCCAAACAAACAAATAATTAGGCCCTGTTTAGCAAAGGGTTAAGGAAGAGGGGTTAAAGAGAATGATTAATGTACTTAGCCCATTCGATAATCTGAAAGGCTAAATTATTAACCCGTTAAATAAGTTTTATTTTAGCCATTGTGATCAGTTTTAGTGTTTGGGAATAACAATAATTTTGACTATTTTCTTTATAATTAGAAGGGTTAACTCTTAATCCTTCTAAATAGGAGTATTAGTAAACCCCTCGTTTTGAGGGGTTAACTCATTTTAATCCCTCTAGAGGGGTTAGCTTAACCCTTCTATATTATTTATGTTTGACAAATTATGGAGGGTTAACTCACTTTAATCCTTGTATAGATTTTTTGTGTTTGGCGGGTTAAGAAGGGGTCCTTAACCTCTCACTTAACTCTTTGCCAAACGGTACCTAAAAGAAGATGATGAAGTACTATTTTCGCTACTTCTAAAAATATATGAAACAAACAAAATAAGTACTACTTCCGTTACTTTCTACTTCATAATTGAGGAGGTTACATCTTTGAACCACTTCTTATTTCTAATAGTTACGTCCATCCAAACGGGCCCTTATTTGCGTAGCAGATTTCAATATTATCCATATTCAAAGAGGATCAGTTTTCAATAGGATTCACAACTCTAGCAATTTGTTAGTGTTCATAAGGATTAGAAAGATCCAATCATAGTCATATGGAGAAGAGATTTGATGCCACCTGCAATTGGAATGCACAGGCACGGGAATCTCCTGGTTGCAGCTTTTAGTTGCTTGTTTTCCTAGAAATTGCAGATTTTTTTGACTAGTATAATTAGGACTGTCCAAATGGGCTTTGGGTTTGGATCCAGCCGGGGCCCAAACATGGCCGGGCACGAACCTGGCTCGGGCTTGGATAAGGCCCGGAAAAGTCGGGTTGGCCGATCTTCGGGCCCAGGTCCGGGTCGAGGTGGTGAAGCCCGACCTAGCCCAACCCGTGTTTGTACATTATATAATATTTATATTATATATATATATAATATATATATATATATATATATATATTATATATATATATGATATATATATATATATATATATATATATTACTTGTACCAACAGAAAAAGTTGTACTTGTAGTGATGTGTCACATCCCCCTCCGCTCATTAAAATATGGGACCACATCACATGGTAGTGGGTGGATGAGGATGTGACAATCACTACCAAGCACAACAATTTGTGCTTGGTACCAAGCATCCATTTTTCTCATATATATTATATATATATATATATAATATTATATATATATATATATATTAATATATATATATATATATGGGTAAACTGAACCTAAGGTGACTCCCTAGGTTAACCTAAGATACGCGATCTCAGCATTAATCTCAAAAACCCAAAATAATCTCAGCCCTCCATCAATAAAAATCTCAAAAGAAAAACAAAATTTCTAAAATAAACACCCTATTTGATGACCGCATCTCCTCAAAAGCCAAAAAAAAAAACACGATTCTCTCCTCAACAGCCGCTCGACCTCACCGACTCTCCTCGACCTCACCGTCGACATTCGCCGTCTCCTCGACCGCGACCTCACCGTCGTCGTCTTGTCTCCTCGACTCTACCGTCCAGTGAGATCGCTGGCGCTCCCTTGACCTCGCCGTCACATCCGTCGTCCGTCCCTACTTAGCGTCGGATCACGCAACCGTCGTCTCCTCGACCTCGTCGTCGTCTCTCTCGACCTCGTCGTCGTCTCTCAGACCTTGACCTCCAGCGAGATCGCCGCCGTCTCCTTAACCTTGCTGCCGACATCTGCCGTCCGTCCCTACTTCAGCGCCGGATCACGCCGCCACCTCACCCTCGACATCCGCTCGCGTCGCCACCATCCGTCCCCACTTTAGCGTCGGATCACGCCGCCACCTCGCCCTCGACATCCGCTCAGTGTCGCCGCTGTCCGCCCATGCCTCACCACCGCCGCGAAGGTCGCTGAGCCTCCACGTCCCCTCTCTCTAATCCTTTCCAGCACCGAGATCTGGCGCCGCCGAAGCTCACCGCCCCCACTCAGCGTCGCCGCCGGCTCATCGCAATTGGCACCCATCATCGAGGTCAGCCCTCAGGTCTCCTCAAAGCCCTTATCGATAGTTATGAACTTCTTAACTTGTAAATTCTTGTTGATTATGGGATATGAATTATGAATATGATCATTTTTTTTAGTTTAGATTTTAAGATAGGATTATTGTTAATTGGATATGAATATGATCATTCCGTTATTGGTTTAAACTATCATAATGAAATTGTTTAGTGAGATTGAAAGATCAACTTGATGATGATTTTCTAAAGATTCTGAACTTCTTATATGTGTTGATTTGATAGCTTGTATGGACACTCCAACAATTCTCTCACATGATACAACAATGGATAAAGATAAAAACAAACTTATAAGCATTGACCTTGAAAGCGAGGACCATGATCTACTATATACAACAAGTTTTTTTTCTCTCAGGTGATAATATCTTATTGTTTATAGCGTACTACTAACTAATAACATATACTAAAATAGTTGTCTTTTAGTATGAGTTTTATATGTTTTGTTTTTCTATTTTTATAGGCATTCGAGCATGAGGAGAATGTTGATGAACCTATTGGCGTTAAAAATGGTGAAGGTAATTTTGTTGTTGATCTATATATCGGAATGGAGTTCTCTACTCATGATGAAGCTTATAATTTCTACAATGCATACGCCAGACTTAAGGGATTTGATGTTCGCAAGGGTCACACAACTTGGTCGAGAAAGAAAGATGCAGTCATATCTAGAATATTTGTATGTGACATGGAAGGCTTTAAATTTTTAAAAGATAAAAGAGAAGATGGTCGGAATATAATTCGAAAGTTCGATACAAGATGTGGATGCAATGCAAGGATGATTATTGGTCTCGATAGAAGCACTAAAAAATGGGTGGTCCGAAGTTTAAACATTAATCATAATGGTCATCCATTAACCACCCCAAATCGAGTAAAGAAGCACTAGTCACATCGGACACTTTATCGAGCTCAATCGACTAAAAGGTTGATAGACAATCAAGGTTTACAGCCTTCTACAATTTGTAAGATTGTAGACGTTGCTCATGGAAATGAGCAAGACTCTCTCACTCAACAAGAATACCAAGCAAAACTTAGAATTAAATGAAAAAATAATGCCGGCCATGAGTGCGTGAGCATATTCATCAATTTCAAGAGAAAAAGGTATCTGATCCTTAATTTTACTTTGCACTTGATTTAGAAAATGATAAGACGATGAGAAGTGTTTTTTGGATGGATGGTAGGTCGAGGACTTCTTACTTGCAATTTGGAGATGTTGTTTGCTTTGATGTTACATATAGAACGAACAATTTAAAATTGTCGTTTGCACCATTTACGGGCGTTAACCATCATTGACAATCTACTCTATTTGGGTGTGTGTTACTAGCCGATGAAACGGATGAGACATTTATATGGTTATTTAGCTAATGGTTAAAATGTATGTCGGGTATAGCACCATCAACAATCATCACTGATCAAGATATAGCTATGTGTGGAGCAATTCACAAAGTTTTTCTTTAAACTCATCATCGCTTTTGTTCTTGGCACCTTCATAGGAATGCCTTACAAAATCTTCAATTAATGCATAATGATTATGGTGAAGATATGGGTATAAAGTATAACAAATGGTATTGGAATAAATCAGAAGAAAAATTTGTAAAGCGTTGGGAAGAAATGAGGGACAAATATGATGCAGATAAAAGGAATTGGTTAGTAAATTTATACAATCATCGATATCATTGGGCTCCAGTGTCTCTTAAAGATACTTTTACTGTAGGAATGATATCTACTCAGCGGAGTGAGGGAATTAATAATTTTTTTAACCATTTTGTGAATGCAAATACCGAGTTACATGATTTTGTTAAGCAATATGATAATGCTATCGGAGCTCACCGAGCCGCTGAACTTGAGCAAGATTTTAAGTCCACAAACTCAGTTCCTACATTGATAATTGGCCGAGCCGCTGAACTTGAGCAAGATTTTAAGTCCACAAACTCAGTTCCTACATTGATAATTGAACATCACATTGAAAAACAAGCTAGGGAGAATTATACAAAGAATATGTTTACTATCTTTCAGAAAGAACTCAAGGATAGTTACTTCATGCTTCATGAAAGGTTGTCTAAGGATAGCGCAAGTGCTACTTATGTCGTTTGGAATAGAGATAGCGAGGCTAAAAGCAAGAAGAGGGTAAAGCAACATGTTGTTTTCGATGCATCCAAAGATAAAAGAATTAAGTGCTCTTGTACGAAATTTGAGATGGAAGGTATATTATGCAAACATAGCTTGCACATTTTAGTAAAGAAGCAAGTATTAGAAATTTCCATCAAGATATATTATGCAATGATGGACAATTAAAGCAAGACATGTTAGTTGCGGAGTTGTTAGAAATTACATTTCAAATAGTGAAAACCAACTCTCTATCATTAAACATTGGGCCCTTAGGAGTAGATGTAACAAGGCACTAGAAGATACATTAACTTCAAGTACACTTCATGATAAGTTTAGTGCTTTTTTAGACTCATTTTTTGAAGAAGTTGATACTTACAAGAAAGAAATGGAACATAACGACAATGAAATTGAGAGCAATGCCAGCAATAAGATGCCTACTTCATCCATACCCATCTCTGTAGAGTAAGCAACTCAAATCACTATCATGATATGGATAAGCCTATTGCTATGAAGTGACAACCAGCACAAGCTACTAGAATTAAGTCCGGAATGGAGATAGCACAAGAAAAGAACATAAAAAAACAAAGATTTTGTGGATTTTGTAAGAGAAAAGGACATTATATAACGAGTTGTCCATTAGCTAAGGTATTATATTTAATCTTGTTTTAATATTTTTTTAACTTTAAGATACATTTGTCATGATAAAGTTGTGCTTTTTTTGTAGATGAAAAATATTACAGGTGGTGGTCAAGAAAGTTAACAGAGGGCCAAATCAAAGTTAATGGTGGGCCAAAACAAAGCATGTGTTTCTGAAGAATGTTGATAATTTGAATTAAAGTTTATGAACATATGGATGATTTGGTTGTATGGATTAATCATGTATGGATGATAATTTGGTCGTATGGATTAATCATGTATGAATGATAATTTAAATAAATTTTATGTATGTATGGATGATTTGGTTGAATAGATGATAATGTGGTTATATGGATTAATCATGTATGGATGATAATTTGAATTAAATTTTTTCTAGATCTATGAGGTACAAATTTTTTTCCAGATCTATGAGATACAAAATGTGCATAAGTTGGTACAAAAAATGAATAAGTTGGTAGAATTTTTTTCTAGATCAATGAGGTGCAAAACATACCTAAGTAGGTACAGAATATGCATAAGTAGGTACAAAATTTTAGCCAATGGTTACAAATTTATTTCCAGATCAATTAGGTACAAACCTTGATTAAGTGGGTACAATAAATTTTTTCTAGATCAATGAGGTACAAAATGTGCCTAAGTAGGTACAAAATATGCATAAGTGGGTACAAAACTTGAATAAGTGGGTACAATAATTTTTTTAAGAACTACGAGGTACAAAACATGCCTAAGTAGGTACAAAACGTTCATAAGTAGGTACAAAACTTTAATAACTAGGTACAAATATTTTTTTAACTTTCAATGAGGTACAAAATATGCATAAGTACAAATTTTTTTCCAGATCAATGAGGTACAAAATGTGTCTAAGTGAGTACAAATCTTGAATAAGTGGGTACAAATTTTTTTTTCAAGAACTACAAGGTTCAAAACGTGTCTAAATAGGTACAAAACGTCCATAAGTAGGTACAAAACTTTAATAACTAGGTACAAATATTTTTTTAACTTTCAATGAGGTACAAAACGTGCATAAGTACAAATTTCTTTTCAGATCAATGAGGTACAAAATGTGCCTAAGTAGGTACAAAATGTGCATAAGTAGGTACAAAACTTGATTAAGTGGGTACAATAATTTTTTTCAAGAACTACGAGGTACAAAACATGCCTAAGTAGGTACAAAACGTTCATAAGTAGGTACAAAACTTTAATAACTAGGTACAAATATTTTTTTAACTTTTAATGAGGTACAAAACGTGCATAAGTACAAGTTTTTTCCAGATCAATGAGGTACAAAATGTGCCTAAGTAGGTACAAAATGTGCCTAAGTGGGTACAAAACTTGAATAAGTGGGTACAAAAAATGAATAAGTGGGTACAATAAATTTTTTTCAAGAACTATGAGGTACAAAACGTGCTTAAGTAGGTACAAAACGTCCATAAGTAGGTACAAAACGTCCATAAGTAGGCACAGAACTTTAATAACTAGGTACAAATATTTTTTTAACTTTAAATGAGGTACAAAACGTACATAAGTACAAATTTCTTTCCAGATCAATGAGGTACAAAATGTGCCTAAGTAGGTCCAAAATGTACATAAGTAGGTACAAAACTTGATTAAGTGGGTACAATAAATTTTTTTCAAGAACTACAATGTACAAAACGTGCCTAAGTAGGTACAAATTGTTCATAAATAGGTACAAAACTTTAATAATTGGGTACAAATATTTTTTTAACTTTCAATGAGGTACAAATTTCTTTCCAGATTAATGAGGTACAAAAGTAGATTGCCAACATTCAAAATTGTCACTTCCACTTATCTATAAAGTATCATCCACATAATGTCATCCACATATTGCATACAAAACACACGCCATGGTGAAAATTAAAATAATATTTACGAAAAAGGTGAATCATGTGCATACAAGAGAGCTGCACAAAACTTTGCTCTATACTTTGCACAATCTCCTTCTGAAATTGTTATCGACTGCTTTTCGACAATGTTGTTAATGAATTCAATCATAAAGATCCCGCAATCTAAAGTTCTGCATTTAAGAAAAAAAATACAATATTGAAAATGACTTTGAGAAAAAATAAACATTTACATTAGAAACGTGAAACACTTACGGTCCTTGTTGTGGCGTGGCAACTGACTCCAGAACATGATGCTCTAATTTTCTTAATCTCCAATTACTCTGTATGAAACTCATAAACTTATTTCTAAATTTTGTAGCATCGGCGGTATAAATGAGGGATTTGATTGAGGAGTAGTGATAGAATTTTTTCTCCTCTCTCACTAACTCTACCATGTGCCAATGTCCGGACCTGACAATCGGGATCAGAATTCTTTCACACTCCAATAACTTCTGCTGAGAAACATTTTCCTTCATTCGTTTTGCCACCATTTCAAGATTTCCATTCAAAAATACTTGCTAAAAGATGCCTCAATGTCAACAATGTAATGTTGTATAATAATAAAAACCACAAACTAATGAAATAACATGGATATACTTACTGCAAGTCAATGTATTGTGACATGTATCTTTTGATCATAACTATTAGTTGCTTCAATCTTGTTCCAAAGCCGAATAACATATGCATCAATCACCTACAAAATTTACCATGAATGAATAAAATAGTTAATATAAGTGATTTTATATACAACAACAAACAAAGCATAACACAAATGTTTAGAACCTACATCATCACTGAGTTCACCTCCTGTTAATAGTTTATAAGCATCTAAGCGATATGCGCTTGCTTCGGTACACTTCCAAATGTACGTATCACTATATGCAAGTACATGGTGAGAAAATTGCAACACAAATTAAGTAGTTTCAAAGATTATTATTAGAATAAGTCAGTAACATATACCTGGTAATTTTCGATTGTAGAAAGTCTTCAATCAATTTGTCCTCATAATCATAGACAATTACCTTACCTAGATAGTCGAGAGATGTAGGTATTGTTGGCCTTCTTGTTTTGATGATGTTTAACAAACAATTTATAACTAATGTTGTTTGTCTAGTGCTTGTGTTATCTATTCATTGTAGACAAACAACTTGTTGGAGGATGGATGGAATTGCGCTTCAACGATCATATCCAAAGGAGGTTGGCGGAATGTCGGTGA